GGGGGGGTTGTTGCCGTTGGTTTCAACGGGGCCCGGATTTCACATGCTGTTTAAAAAATATTTTGGAAATGTCTAACAAACTTCAAGGTCAGTATAAAAAATCCCTAGGTTTTCAATATGGCAGAAACTATATGCTTTAAAAGTATCTGGGTTACACAGTGCCAGAGGCATAGCTGGCCAGGACTGTGCCTAGGGCAGTCCTCCCTCCTTTTCCCCCCTGTACCTTCTAGCTCCAGAGGGGCTAGAAGGAGGCAGAATGCAGGAGTAGCAGCTGAAATTCATTGCTGCTGAATGGAGATGTCACCTCATTTTTCTACTACAAAAGCCCATGTCAAGTGGGCAAAAAATGGGTTGACATCTCCCCCCACTGCAGCAAATTCTTTTGTTACTCACCAGAACTACATTTCCCAGAGTGTACTCACTGACACTCCTCCTCTACACTGCTTGGGTGACTGGGGATGGGAAGGTGAGGCACTCCCAGTCTATTCTGGTGCCACCTGCCCCCCTTAGGCAGTTCCCACCTATCCTTGCAGTACTACATCATTCAAGTGTGTAAAGTAGACACTGTGAATATGGCTGAGTTGAACAAACTTTTTTTTCTACCATTCAGTTTCCTCTTAATAAGGAAAAGCTGGATTTTATGATGGGCCCTTCAGATTCTTAAGAGAATCTCTCTAGATTAACTAGGAACTTTACAAGTCTCATTCTTCTTGTAGTTGTCACGAGGACTTTTCTACGTATTGAAACAATACAGGGTTTATGAATGACATCCTACATCAGTATGTCTTGTTTCAGCCTTTGGCGTATTCACAGCAGCTGACAAAGTAGGCTGTTGCCTACAAAAACTAATGTCCCTCTGAACTAGTCCATCTCTCTAATCTCCACTTGTCATGGCCAAGTGGTGTCGGACCTCATATTCAGAAAGGGTATGTTCTTGTGAGAAGAATGAGGTAGATGTATTTACTTTTTGTGGTCTTGTTCATTCTTTGAAGAAATAAGAGAAAAATGGCTCTCTCAAGTAGTGGAAAATTTTAAATACCAGCATAATGAAAAAACTATTTGGCTTCTCTCTAACAATTTATAACTTATCCTATACTCCCTAGGCATATTTGCATTAGTTGCACAAAGAATAAGGCCCAGGATCAAATAGAGTTCCCTGTTTCATTTTACTATTGCACATTGCTTCATTTTATCTGTTGCTTTCTTGTATCATCATAAATTATGTTGTTTTAATTTTGTTTAAACTGGTACAATATGTAATCTTACTGTATGCTTTTAACAAAAACCATAAATTATATGCATTTATTATTATACTAATATGTATATATATACTTTTATTGCCCATTTTATTGTATTGCTTTAGTTATAGCTGTAAATACAATACTACTAGAGTTAGTCTCTAAGGTACCACCCTGCCCAGGCTTCTGCCTTTGAAGAACAGTAAGCAGACACCCAAAATGCCTGAGAGAAGCTATCCCTGCATGTGCACTATATTGTCTTGCTTTCTTTGCACAGGTAGAAGCCAAAATCATGGAGTTTATTGCCTGTGTTCCTCTCACTGTCCATCAACAGTGCTGGTGATACTAATGTGCAACAAGAATAGCTAACTACTGAAGCACAGTGGAAACGTTAGAAAACTTTTTCATTATGAAGTGCCATAAAATTATCGGTGCTTTCTTCTTGAATATAGCCTGTCCCTGGGGCACAACATCATCAAACATTCTTCTCATTAACCACTATACTGTTATTAAGAATGTAGATAGGATCATAAATACACTTGACAGGGCACATGATCCTCAAGTCTCAGAAGGCACAGATCAGGACACGCAGTTGATAAGCAAGGGTAAAGGTGAATTTAAGGTACCTGTTGCATCTCCCTGATGCTGGGCTTGACAAAAGGCTTAGCCTGGTCTTCCCTCCAGTACAAATTAGAACCGTTGAAGTTTAAATGCAAGTGCTGTTTTCCTCATACATTTAGTGGACATTCAGAGTAACAGAAACCCCGCTAGAATCCTAGGACCTATAATTTGGTCTATGAACAACTTCATGAACAATAAAAGATTTTCAGTTCTTTGGCTTAAGTATTTTTCCTCACAGATACATGATAGTGGTGTTGCCCTGATGGTCCAGGAATTTTGGAGAGGTAATGATTTCTTTGGGTGATATCTTTTATTGGATCAGCTGCATGTCAGAAGTTCTCAAATTCAAAAACATGTCCAACTATTCCACCTATGCCGTTGGTCAAATATTCCTGAACCATCATGGCTTCAACATCACCCTAATACTACTGTAACATGGAATATATAAAAATCTGCTGCTTACAATGGCAAAGAAGAATGTCTTGCATTTGAAAGCTTGTCCAACTAGAAATAAATAAAAGGAGTAGGGACTTACTGTTTCCAGGGCTCTACAGTAATTGCCTATCTGTCTGCTTTCACCCTGTAGTAATTGAAAAGCTAAACTGGAGCTTTCCATACAATAGGGTAAGCCACCACGGTTTAGCTTTCATTTACCAGTGGCAAAGAGTGGGCACACAGCAACAGTTCAGTAAAAAGTG